TATCAGCTCTGATTAAGAAGATAGAAACATGTCCTGGTATCAGGCCATTTGTGCTGGTATTCAGGCAAGTAAATTAATGACCTGGGTTCTCTCCAATCTGATACATCAAGGTCTAATTTAGTCAGATGTTGCATTTGGACAAAAAAAGATTTGCAGTGAAACACACAATGAAGAATTAACCTGTCTCTCCTAAAGTTTCTCCAGACTTTGGTTGTTTTTTTCTTCTTTCTACATCTCAATTTTTTTGGACCCTGATTCCACAGGGCTCCATGCAAATTCCACATTACCCTCTGAAAAGAAATGGCAGCACAGGAAGGACATAGACCTGTTGCTGGAGAGGGACTTGGGACAGGGGCCTGAAGTACCATTTGAAAAGGGGGAATGACTTCCTACTGTCAGAGGGTGGTTGGATGAGACATTGGGAAGGAATTGTTCCCTGTCAGGGTGGTGAGGCCCTGGCACAGGATGCCCAGAGAAGCTGTGGCTGCCCCTGGATCCCTGGCAGTGTCCAAGGCCAGGATGGATGGGGCTCAGAACAGCCTGGGCTGGTGGAACGTGTCCCTGCCCATGGCAGGGGGCTGGCACTGGGATGAGCTTTAAGGTCCCTTCCCACCCAAACCCTTCTGGGATTCCATGAACTGCACAGGGTGGCTCAGAGCAGAGTTGATCCTGGGCAGAGCCCTGCAAGCTCAAATCCATTGCCTTGAAGGGGCCCTGTTCCATCAGGGCTTGCATGAAATAAATAGAAATTAAAAGCTATAACATACAAAGTGCTGACTGTGAAAAAAATTACCCATTTAGTGCTTGCTAGCAAAAACATCTTGATGGTGGCTGTCCTGGAAAATGTTTGGGAAAACAACTGCTGTCTCTGAATCCTGCATGGAGCAGTACAGTGGTCTGGAGGAATTATCTCCTTGAAGTGCATGTTATTGCTGGAGTATAAGCCACTGCCTCCCTGTAGGCAAAAGGCTGAGGGGTAATGGAACAATTGACAGGCAATTCCTGGGATTATATCTGGGGATTGTAACCCCACAAGAGAAGCACTTCTGGCGTTCTGGTTCAAAAGGGCCCATGGCAAAACAATCCTGGGCAGCTGTACCAGAGGAAAACCATCACTGGTCCTGTTATCATAAACTCTACAGTGGCTACAGTGGTTTGTAAAAAATAATCACAATGCAAACGTGCTCATGGACAAAAATGAGATTACAAAATGAGATGTGTTGCTGTGAGCTCTGATGGGAACCCCGAGCCCGGGACACGGTGTTGCCATCCCCATGGGGGATGTCACTGTGGGTCAGCTGTTTGAGCAGTGCTTGAGCTGGGGTGGGTGTGCAGGGATTTCTCCCCCAGTGCACTCCCCTGGCCTCGGGAGCTGCTGGGAGGACAGACAGCCCCAGGGAAGGATGCCCGGCAGCAGCTCCTGCATCCCTCCGTGGTGATGGGCATGGCAGCAGGAGAGGGCACCGAGCATCCTTGGGTGGGATGGAGCCAGGGAGTGCCCTTGGGAACAGCCCCTGCCAGCCAGGGCACGCTGCTTGGGCTGAACTCATTAGCAAAGTGGGTTGCTCTTAATGACTCCATTGATTTTTCCCTAACAAAACGAGAGAGGGACAAAAACCAGCGCAGTATGCAGTGATTTAGTGCCGCCTCCCGGCATTTTCTTCCCGTCCTTTCTGAGAGCCCTGTAAACAAAACCAGCCTGATGGAAAGGGGTCCCAGCTGGGCCCTCGAAGGGGCCACTGTGTCCCCAGCCCTGTCAGCCCACAGGAGAAAGGGCTGCAGCTCCTGGCCCTCTCCATCCTCTGCCTCTCCTGCCTCCCTCTCCTCTCCTCCCACCTCTCCCTCCTCTGCCTCTTCTCTCTCCTCTCCCTCCCCTGCTTCCCCTCCATCCCCATCCTCCTGTCCCTCCTGTCCCTCCCCTGCCTGGCCCAGTGCTCAGGCACAAGAGGCCCTTGAGCCAGGTTGTTTATTGGCCTGTCACCCACACAATGGGGAAAAGGCCTTTTTCCTGCAAGTTCTTTCTCTTTTTATTCCCTAAAAGGAAATCATGAGCATCCTCAGGAGGGGAGCACTTTGGAGGTGCAGCAAGGGGAGAGATGGGGGATGAGCCCTTCTGGTTTGGGTGCAGGCAGCAGGAAAAGAACATCAGGCTGCTTTTTAATTTATCTTGAATCCACTCACTCATTTAGAAACACTTATGGTGTTCTGTGGATGTCTACAAAAGCTGACAGTTGTATTTTGAAACTGCAGAGGTGGGAGATGGGATTCCTCAGGGATTAGCTGGACTTGGAGGCACATATTACAGTTCTCATCTTCCTCAACATAGTTCATTTACACTTTAAATCATTAAAACTTCTCAGAAATCACAGAATTGGAAGGGACCCACAAGAATCATTGAGTCCAGCTTTTAAGTGAGTGGCCATTGCAGGTTGAACCCACAACTTATTTAGTCCATGGCTGGCCATACATTCCTGTTAGTAGCCACCTGCTCTGTGCCTCTGGCTCCTCTGGATGTAGGAACCTGCTCCCCTGGACAGAATTTGACTGCCAGTGATGGAATTGTAGAATCAGAGAGTGGTTTGGGTTGGAAGGGACCTTTAAAGGCCACCTGGTCAATGCCTGCAGCTGGCAGGGACACTCCACTAGAGCGGTGTGGTTTCTGCTAGCTCTTAGCTGACCATTTCCCATGAGGTGTTCCCAGCCCCATCTCAAGCACTGCAGCCTCTCAGTGATCAAGGGATCATCTCTTCCAGCATCTGGCAGACATCCTCTGAAACAACCAACAGGCCAAAAATGGACATTTTAAAGTATTCCACTGGATTGTGGCTGAAGCTGCCTTTCCTCTGCCACCAGGCAGTGGCAGCCCTCTGAAGGAGCACCAAGGGCACAACCCTTGTCTTGGATTTCTGGTGCAGTGGGGCAGGCTGTGACAGCAGGGCACTTTATTGCTTCTCTGATCTTCCTGAGCAATGCTGAGCTTGTTATTACTGACAAAAATTTGGGGTGTAACGTGTATACCAAAGCTCTGTTGGGCACCTTTGGGATTCACCGCAGTGTGGGCATCACCTGAGCTGGCCAGGCCACCAGAAGGATACGGATGTGTCCCCATCCCCAGCAGTGTGCAGATGGAAGTGACAGGTCTGGGAGGACCATCCCAGCTCCTGGTGGCCTTCAGGCCTTGGTGGGAGGTGGTGTGTCTGTACCATGGCTGGGACTTGCTCAGCACATTGGTTTGGAGCAGTTCCTTGGCGTCCATGTAAGAACTGCATTTGGCAGCCATGGAGCAAACCCAGAAGCAGGAGAACAGCAGGAGGAGTAGGAAGGGAAAAGTGCAGGATGGCTTTTTTTCTGTCAGATTTGGGTCTGCTTGGAGCTTTAATGGCCACCAGTGGGGAGTGCTGGGCCATGGGGCTACTCTTGAGCACGTAAAGGGATGTCCTGGAAATGCCCTGAGCTCAGCCCTCAGTCTCTGCTGCTGCCTTTCACAGCTCTGAAACATTTTGGACAAAGCATTTGTCACCACCAGTTCAGTCTCCTGGATTTGTCCAAATGTGGTCCCTGGACCTGTGCTTCACTGCAAAGAATTTCAGTGTTCCTTCTTTTTGAGTTACAGCTTTTAGTTCAAAAAATGTATTTTTTCCCCCTTTCTTTCTGGGTCAATGATTGCTGAGTTGGAATTTGGGCTGATGAGTCTCTTGGGGGTTATTTTAACTTAGAAAACCCTTCTGCTCTCAGTGCTGGGCCACAGGGAGTTGTCAGAGCACTGCACATTCCTGGGTCTGGGCTCCAGCACTGGGACTGCAGAGACGTTTTGGAGCCTTTATTCCAGATGTGCAGCCCAGCTGTGTGTCCCAAATAAACTGATCACTCCTACAAAACATCTCTCCCTTTTTTTTTGTCTTTCTGGCTCTCCTTCTCCAGGTGCTCAGGTGATACACCCAGCACACAGGAACAACGGGAAATAGCCCAGAGGTTGAGATTTTGGGTCCTGCACTTGAGGCAGTTGTTTGATGCAAGATCCCCTGGGTGGCTTGTGCTGAGCAGCTCAGCTCCAGCTGGTTTTGTGTAGGGAGACAAGGACAGTGGCTCCCAGCAGGTCCTTTCCTGCTGCTCTGCAAGAACTGGGTAGGGAGGGATGGGATGTGCCTTCTCCAGGCCATCCCAAGGGAAATACCCAGAGAGATGCTGCTCCACACCTTTGGGACGGGATAAAAGGCATAACATGATGGGTCTGATAAGAAATCCATCTTTTGTGAAGCTTAGGCTGAATCCCCCATAGCACAAGCATAATTTCAATACAAATGGCATCTTTTGCTCTGGGGTTAAACTTTTGCTGGGGTTATCAGATGAGGGATTCTTGTTCACAGCAGCTGCCTTGTGTTGCTCATAGGATTATCTGCTTTGTTGCTTTTGCCTCGGAGATTATCCTTTCACAACAAATCTCAGGGCTGTGTCCATCAGGGTGGATCTTTACATAAAACAGGTTTGTAAATCAGTGTGTTGGACCCGGAATTCACTATATGGGGGATGATGTTTATGAGATTAATAGTGACAGAAAGGGAAGTGGCTCCTATCCTGGTTTCCTGCAAATTCCCTGTGTCTGAGGTTTCTACCCAGCTGTGAATTTAAACCCCCCAGTTTCAGAGAACTGCTCTCAGTAAGTGTTGCCTGGATTTATTCCTGTGTGCTGTCTCTAAGTACCAACTGCCTGGCCTTTGTCCCTGCAGGGTCGTGACTACTGTTCAGAGGAGGAGGATGTCACATAGTGCCAGCTCTGCGCTCGCCCCAGGAGCACCTCCAGTGTAAATAGATCCAACCCAGCCTTCTGGATACAACCTTGGGACGTCTGCTCGAGTGAACAGCACTCCATAACAGAAGAAGACCATTTCCACATTATATGCTCCATTCAGTTACAGTGTTTCCTAATGAACACATGAGGAATATTGCTAAGAACTCGTAAGGAACTGTTTTTGTTGCTGCTAGTTAAAACTTGTTGCAACTTCTCACTTTTTTCTGTGTCCAGATACGCAGCAAATCCTTAAAAGTTAATCCAAAAGACGTTGTTGATTTTATTGAGGCTTCTGGCCCGTTTTCTATCAGATGAGGTAGTGTTACACCAAGCTTCCATAAGTGAACATCCAACATCTAAGAAACACCCCTGAGCTGTGTGTCCGTCCGTGTTGGGGCCAGAGTGCTTGTTAGTGCTGGTGATTCCAGGCTTTGGAGATGGGATGTTTTTGCCATGGCAGGCCTTGTTTCTCAGCTGGGAAGAAGCTGAGAAACTGTTATCCATTAAAAGCATGTTATCACTGAAATACTGGAAGTGATACAGGAGCAGGAACTTGTATTTTAAGAGGAAAAAAAGTTTCATTTAAAAGGTATCTTAATCAAGGACTAAGCTTGCAGTATTGGCTTTGCTGAGCACGAATGGGAGTGTGATCACAATCATTTTGAATCTCTTTTTTTCTAAGAAAATAAACATTTTACTGTTTTTATGTATTCTTGTCTTTTACCATTCCTACAACACAATGTTTTAAGAGTATGGGGACAAGGAAGACCAAACCTCTCTTCTGCCTTGATGTGTCTTGTGGATCTGGTCTCTTAAAGCAGCTCTGTGCCAACTGGGGGGATGTGTTGTGTGTCCTGTAGAGTTTATTTTTCCATATTAAATGGAGAGGATATTACCTTCTCAAAAGCAGATGTAATATTTTTATCAAATGCTGTCATGAGTTAAAAAAAAGGAAAAAATACAGTTTTTGTATTTATTATTTCAAAGAAGATTGTTACCTGTGCTGATACTTCTTCCAGCTTTGATGCCATATGAGGGCAGGGTTTGCGCTGCACCCAGTGGAGAAGCTTTGTCAGTGTAGTTTGCTGTCACTGTGTTGATTTCATTTGTGGGATGGGTGTGGACAGGACTGAGGGTGCATTAACAGCATCTCCTAGGATGTGGCTGACACTTGAGTGGGGCACTCAGCCCAAATATTGGCCATTTTTCACTGGGCTTTCTGAAAATCAGATCCCTCTAAAGGATCTAAGCCCCTCAGAGATCATCTGTGAGCTCTGCAAATCTCTAAGTTACTGCTGAATTTCTTGACTAAAGAGGTTTCCCTGAATGTTGGCTCTGAATGGGGCTGGACAGTCCACATCAGAAGATTTCATTCCCCATAAGTACTGTGCTGTACCTGGGCTATCTCCAGAAAGCCCAGCTCCCTCTGCTGCCATCCCTGCACTGGATTTACCTTTGGCTTTTGGGGATGAGCAGTGGGGACAGACCTGGCAGTTGTCCTGAAGGGCTGCTCCAGCAGGAGCAGCTTTCCAAGCAGCAGCTGTGAGGCTGCACATCAGCCTGTTCCCTAAAGGCAGAAGCTGTTTCTCAGCTCTGCAGGCTGCCCAGGCCCCTGGCTGCCTCAGTCTGAGCCCTGTGGTTGCTGTGTTCCAGGATTCAGACAATCCAAGAGCTTCAACAGCTTTCCCTGTAAAACCTCAGTGTCAGGGTCCAGCATGTTCAGCTGTATCCCATTAATGGTCAAAAACCACCAGCCAGTTCTGATTTCCCTAAATCCCGGCTCATTTGAGCAGCTGCATTGGCCAGGCAGCCCTTCCCAAGCATCCTGGCCTCCCTGGAGACAAAGTTTCTCTGCCTTGCTCCCGTCACATCGCTGTTCTGGGGCTGTGGCATCTCTCAGTGCTACAGAGACGTTGGGTTTTGTGATGAATTCCTCAAGGTGAGATCTCTCTCCTCCTGGATATGATTTTTTTCCATAATTTATGGCAGCTCTTGAGCAGGTGACTATGCTTAGGAGAGTCGAGAGACTGTGTATTTCAATTATTTAAAGCACTTTAATTAATAAAGAGTCCTGGGGCTTGTTCCCACAAACCCTTCTCTGCAAAGCACTTTGGAAAGCTTTCACAGTAGTGCAGGAGTGATGGGGTTGGGTCTGTTGTTTTGAAATGTTTCCTTGTCCAGGTGCTGAACATCTTGTGTGTAAATGTCCCACACAAACACTGTGTTTGACCCGTTGTGGTCTTTCAGCTGCCTCTTAGTTTTAATAATTCCTGTATTTAATATTTTCCTTGCTGCTGCTGGTGGTACTGGAGACCTGCACTTCGGTGGACGTTTTGTGAGAGAGGAGAAGCAATTCCCACCTTACCTGTGCTTGTGTTCCAACCAGCAGCAGGTGCTTTAGACTTCTGGATGAGTTCCAGCCTCCCTGCTGGACCTGTAGATGGTAATATTTGTGAAGGCCTGGGTAGGCTGTGGTGCTGCTGGCTGGGAGGCACTAGGGTGGGCAGGAGGTTTGGAACCTGCTGGGATTCTTCCACCTTTGCAAAATCCTGGCAGAGTTTGTTAGAAGTCTAAATATATGTGGCAGCTGAAGGTCTGTAATAATACAAGCAGATTACTCTGGCTGAAAATACATCTCTCCTTGGGGCTCTGCCTCCCCAGTGCTTTGCTCTGCTCAAATACATTCAGCAGTGTGGAATAGAGGAGGCTGGGAAGAGAAGGAGAGCTTGCTCCTATCTGGTATGCTGTGCTTGGCTGTAAATGGGATTTCAAGGCTCATCTCAAAGTGCCAGGGCAGTGATTTGTGGCCCAAGCTTCTCTTTAGGAGGTTGATGCAGTATTTCCTGAGCTCCACATCAGGAATCTGAGATCATTCTGAGATCTTGGAGAAAATTGTGGTTGAAGGGGTTTTGCAATCAACCTTCTTCCCTTGAAGTGCTTTCTCCTTTGTCTAGAGCCCTTGGAGTGGTGCTGGTTTTCCTCCTTGGAGCCTGTCCCATCACTGGGAGGGGAACTGGGGAGCTGCTGCTGACCCCAGGCTCAGCCTTGGGCTGTGTTGTATCTCTTGTTTAATTACTGGGAGTTCCACTTCACCTGTGCCCCCTCCCAGCCCCTTCCAATTAACATTGATTTCTTCCCTTGCATTCAGTCAGAGGTTTGGTTCTTTTGAATTAGGTCTCCCTGCCAGGATCCGGCAGGATCTCTGAGTCCTCCCCTGCCACAAGCCCTTGGTGGCCACGGATGGGCCACACAGCTCCAGGCTGGCTCACCTCTCCCTGCCCTTGTAAACAGCAGGAGCAGCAGCGCTTTAACAATCCCAGGATTGTTTGTGGTGTGCCTCTTTCTTGGTGTAAGAACAGCCAGGCTGATGAGTGGCCCCAGAGGACAAGAGGATTTAAACTCTGGATGATGAGACGGGAGCGAAGTGGTCCGTGAAGCACCAGGGAGACGCGTTTGAACTCCGAAGACATCGCTGTCATCACATGGGAATGGGCCTGGAGATAAATATTCTGTTCTCAGCTATTTCGGTTTTACCAGGTCTGTAAAACAGTAATTTCCTGTCACTTTCATTTGGAGCTAGCAATGACTCAACTCCAGATCATCCTGGCTGACACTCCAGACCTTCAGGACAGGAGGGGCTGGATGACGTGTGTGTCTGTCAAAGAGCAAATGTCACGTGGGCTTTGCACAAAAAGGGTGGTTTCCAGTTCCACCGTGGTGCTGGGACCCTGGCACAGGGTGCCCAGAGAAGCTGTGGCTGCCCCTGGATCCCTGGAAGTGTCCAAGGCCAGGCTGGACAGGGCTTGGAGCAAGCTGGGATAGCAGAAGGTGTCCCTGCCCATGGCAGGAGGGAACATTGTTCCAGGTTGCCCATGGAACAAGATTATTTTTAAGGTCCCTTCCAGTCCAAACCATCCTGAGATTCCATGATTATAAAACCAGTGCCCTGACTCAGGTCCTTTGTGTGGTGTTGGGGAGTCTGAGCAACATCCCTGTGCTAAAGAAGCTTTTACCTGTCTGGGGCAGCCCCAGCCCAGGGGGTAAGTGATGGCACTTGCACTCTGGAAAATCAAAAGCTTTGATCTCAGCCAAGGTCACTGTGTGGTACAGGCAGTTTTTAGGGTGTTCACTGAGAAAGCACAGATTTATAGCACTTCTGCCAATGTGGCTTTATGGAAGATGCTTTTGGGAGAACTGAACAGTGCAAGACTCTGCTTTGGGTCCTGGTGCTGCTGGGCAACTCTCCTTTTTCAGGCTGAAATCACTCTGTGTTTAGTTTAATTCTGTAGGATTTCGGGAAAGAGGAGACAAGAAATGCAGGGATGGCTTTGGAAGGGCACCTTATTTGATTGTTGTTGGGGAGATCAGGCATCAAAAAGTTGGGTAAGGCCCTAGTGAAATTCCTGTTATTGTTACTGTACTGTTGTGGCAAAGGGAAAGAAGCCCCAGGCTCAGGGTACTTCAAGTGGGAAAGTTGATAGTATTCAAAGATGTTTGTGTCTTTGCTTTATAAAAAAATCATATTTTCTTCCAATTTAGCTGCACACATCTACCCATGACATTCAGGGAAATGCTTACTTTGAGTTTGAAGATGGGAGAGTCACCATCACCATCCTCAGGATCATCATCTTCATCATCAACACATGTGGGACTGTGAACCTCCTTCATAAGAAGCCAACTCCAACACCAGCATCGTGGACACCCATGGCAGCAAAAGGAGAAGCCTGTGATTCTTCCCTCTTGAAATGACTCCCTTTCTCCCACTGCTCTGCCATCCCAGATGGAGCCTGGCCCTGGAGCAACCATCCTTCATCCCTGCAGAACAGCCCCTGCTAAAGCCTTCGAGGTGCGAGTTCAACAGAAAATTTATAAATTTAATTCTTCTAATATGTCTGTATATTAATTTCTGAGACAAAAAGTTCTCAAGAGCAGTTGCTGTGAGAAGCTAGAAAGCTCAGTGTGGGAACAGAGCATATTCCTGGGGTTTTGGCATTCTGCTTTTGTGTCTATTAATAATCCCCCGGAGTGAGTCATATGGAGCTGCATTTATTCACTGACTCGGAGAGAGCTGCTACCCAAAATAGCAGCTCTGTAATTTTTTATGATGCTGTAATGCTAGTGCAGTGAAGATTGACATCATTTGAGGGAGATGCTCCAGCCTGGCAGTCAGAGAACCCGTGTCCAGCCCCACAAGGAACGTGGAGAGCCACGTGCTCCGTTACATAAAAGCGCCGGAGAGCCAGCACGGGGTGGAGATGCCTTTTCTGTCCTCACCTGAGCATCTTTTCCCCAGATTTTCTCCCATTTTTAGGTCTCTCTAAGCATTCTTGGCTTATTTTCTTCAATCATGAAGAGCACTGGGCCCAGAGGATGATGAGGAAATGGCTTTAGCTGCGGGGAGGAGCCTCAAGCACATCTCAAACCATCAACCTGCCTGCCAGGAGGTCCATAGGGTAATCTTGAAATGCATCAAATTCAGCATCACCAGCTCATCCTTTTTCTCACCCACATTGCTGCTCCGTGTCCCTTCCTGAACCCCTGAGCGTCCCCTGGGCCAAGGCCTGTGCCCAAAACTCACCAGCTCCTTCCCAGCCCCGTGTTCCCGATGCTGGCAGCCCCAGGCAAAGGGCAGAGAAACGCTGGGGCAGGGTTTGGGCTGGGTTTTTTAAGGATGGATCTGATTTTCTGGATTGCTTCTCATTCTCTGCCCTGCACTGCTGCCATCAGGTCTGTCCTGGAGTGGCAGCCAGTGGGGCATCCGAGATATCCCAGGGTGGCCCCACTGCTTCCCAAAAACACCTGTGGGTACCACACAGGCTTTTTGGCACAATTCTGGCTAAAATTCCTCTGCAGGGGCCCATTGCTCTGCGCTTTCCACCCAAAACATTAGGGAAGATGAATTTGCCTGTGCTGGGCATTAATAGCATTAATGGGCATTAAGGGTGAACTTTTGCAGGTCAACAGTGTTTTATAGGTTCCGTTTCAGCTAGAAATGCTTGTTAACATTACCTTTTCATGGAGCACTTGGGGAGAAAATGGAACTCCTGCCACAGCAGCCTTGAGCCAGTGTGGCTGATGGGATGAGCAGCAGCTGCGGCTGAATTTCAGTCAGAGCAGCTCAAGTCCTTTGGGTGAAGGGTGTCACATCTTTGGGTGACCTGCATGAAAAATGGAAATGTGACAGTTGAGCTACAAGGCCCTCAATACAACCACTGGCATAAATTAATAAATACAGTTTAATAGTAGGGATGTGTCCCTTGTTTCTCAAATGGGAAAGGAAGGGCCTTTGCTCCAAAATACTCCAGTCCCTAAGCCCTGATGTTCCCAGAACACAGAAGCAGGAGGCTGAAGGAATTTAGCACTTCCTAGCAAGGCTGGCAATGCTTTCTTACTTCATATCACCAACACTGCTCAGCACTTGAACAAGGACTTGGATTTAGGACTCCTGCATCTTAATCCTGACTTCCAGAGAGGAAAAACTTATAGGAAGAGGTGATGGAGGAGAGCTCATAACAGAGGAAGGATGAGGGACACAATCCTCGAAGACTCACCTCGTCAGGCCCAACTGAGACCTGTTTTTTTCATGCTAAATAAAACAGATGCAGCAGTCAAAATGAACTTTTGAGGGTCTGGATTCTGGATTTTAAACATAAAACAGTAATGCCCAAGTCAGAGACGAGAGGCTGAAATAGTCCCATTAGATCTGATTGCTGAGAGCCTGTCCACTTTCAGCTCTAGACTGAAAAGGTGGTGCTTTGGTTATTACAATACCTCTGGGTTCAGCTGATTTCCCAGGAAAAAATTCCAGGCTTCTCCAGGGTGGCTCCAGCACCAAGGCTGCCAGTGAAGGACTGGTGTGACTGCCTTGCTGAAAGTGACAGCCAACAGCAATGCAGAAATGAGCATCAGTTCAGCACAGCTTGACCAGAATATTTACATTTTATTAAATCTTTACAATCAGCAGATAATCAAGTACACAATTATGTACACGGATTATGTACATTTTAGCCCAGACTTTTACATCACAGTACATAGTTGCCCTTAGAAATATTGGGTACACTTGTCACCAGAGGGTAAAACCCAACAATAGTATTACAGCACCTGTTATTAGACATCTTCCATAAGAAAATATACGGCTGTAAATTGGTCTGGCTGGAAAAAAAAAAAAAAAAAAAAAAAAAAAAAACCCAACCAAAAATCTCATAAAATCTGAACATACAATTTTCATTCACAGAATGGTTTGTTTTCTATGTTCTGACTGATGCCTGTTGCATAAGATGTCCTGTTTTTCACCTCTCAACACACACTCATTGGTGCCTACTCGGGGACACTGGCAGGAGGAGGAGAACCAGAGCTGGGCTCATTCTCAAACTTCATTATGAAACAATAAATGTAAACAATTAAGATTCCTCTAAGATCAAATGAGAAATTAATTGGCTGATCTGAATTACATGGCATGGAATAAGTGCTAGTTGCAGCTGTGATTCCTGAATTCTTCAGTGTTCAATACCATACAAAGAAATGTACAATGCCATACACTAAGGGTGATTCCTGATTAATGATGAGCAATATTCCATATGCAGGGGAGCAGACTTCCAAACTTTTGGGAAGAACACTCTCTCCCCTTTCCAAAAGGGTTTTTCTTTTTGATGAATACATTCTTTTTGCTTTTTAAGATGACAGTAACAGAAAACTGAACTCTTTCCAGAATGATATGAACAGGTTAAACTAAAACCTATGTCCTCATAAGGAAATACAAAGTGAAAATAACCTGAATAAAACTGTCCCCCCAGTTTAATACTCTTTCCCAAAAGGTCAACCTTGCCTGATTCAGTTCTGTAAACAAAGCTATGGCTCTCATAATGGTTTCAAAGGTGAAGCAGAACTAAATGAAAAAAAAAACACTTCAAAAGGAAAGAGGCAACAGTAATCTGAGGTAGGCCACCATCAAATTGCTGCCTCCTAAATCCATATGGAGTTCTGGGATCCCTGAAAGGTAATGCCTGCTGCTCTTATAACAGGTGGAGAAAGCAGTAACTAAAAATGAGCTGGTGATGGCAAGGAAAATTAACCTTTTAATAAAATTTGACATCTACACCTAAATCTGCAAGTAAAAAAAAAGAAAACCTTTAGCTGCTATATTGAGATAGTAATGACCAGAGGCCTCTAGGATATAAAAATAACTATTTCCACCAAAAGAGCTACCAAGAAGAAAGATGATGTCCATGTCAAAAAGCATGGGAGCAAAGATGCTCCTTTTGTGGCACTGAGCACTGACAGATCAACAGAATTCTCTGAAAATGTTTGATCTGCACCTCATGGTTTGATCCTGCACTTGGCCCTGTCTTGGCACTCCCAGGGCTCCAAGGAACCAAGGACACTTACAAGGCTCCCCTGGTCAAATGACTTCTATGAACTCGTGTAACAAAACCCATAAATAAAAACATTCCCAAATGAAAACCCCAGCTGCTTCAAGTCCAAGCCTCCAGACAGTTACTTGTGCAAAGGAATGACAACTCCATTTAAGAGCTAATTTCTTTCAAAGGACACTTATTCACTGTTCCTCCTGGAATTCCCTCCTACCCTGGTGATTTAAAGTTCTGGATGATATTTAGATGGACTGCCATGCTCTCAAAAGGTGCCTGTGCATTCTGAGACTTTTGAAAGCAAGTGTGGCTGAGTACATGGATCCAACATGCCTGGAATTGCTCTGCTCACTGTACAGAGTATAAATACAGAGTATGGCTGTGCTAATTAACAGTTGCATATTCAGCACGTGTAATTTCACCAGCTAAATCAAAGGTGCAGTCCAGAGCAGGGCTTCCTGTTTATTTGCTCCATTACAATGATGAACATAAACCTGCATTTTTAGCCTGGTGCAGCATATAGGCAGTGTTCATTTAGTCTTTAATATAAAACCATTTTTTGAACCACAATTCACTAAAAGCAGTTTATATAAATCAAGTTAATTAGTTTTTGGCAGTTTCTTTGGACACAGTCAAAATGCCTCTATGTTGTTTAAACTTCCCCATTTTTACTTAAATATAATGTGGATAACAAATCTGGACTCCCACTTACCTGGAACAAACTCCAGAGCCTGGGTTAACACCCCTGGACTCTGAACTATCAACCCAACAGTCAGAATTGTTGCTCTTCCTCACTGGCCCTGGCCTCCCTGCCTAAAACACCACATACACAAGTTGTATATAAAAAGAACAATGGAGTCAAGCTCTTGGAAGCCAAACTTGTAGAAACAGGTTTGTTACAGCTGATGGAGCTGTGTCCTTTCTAGACTGTTTCAGATTTCAGGCAGACTGGAGTTTTTCCACCTGGGAGGCCAAGGGAAACAACTGGGACTCAACTGCTGCCTTTTCTGCTTCCCCTCAGCCTCCAGCAGGACCTTCCCACACCTTCTCCCAGTGGCCCCATGGCTGTCCTAGCCTCCCTGACAGGCCCTGCTCAAACTCTGCCTTTGGTTTGTACAATTCCTCCAGCTGGAGAGCAGGAGGGGAACTCCCAGGTCCCCCTGTGGCTCTTCTTGGTAAGGGGTGCAAGGAGTGATGAGCAGCACTGAGATATGTCAGACAAAACCAGACTGCTTCCAGCTGTGAGAACACCTGGAAACAATTCCCCTGCTGCTGTAAGGAAGGCTTTCAGCTGGGGAGGGGTGGGTGCCCCGTCAAGAACCAGTCCATGGTCTGTCACCCCACCCTGCTCAACTCTTCCCAGAGCCCCAGGAGTCCCTCAGAGCCTGAGGCATGAGTCAGGCTCCTCCCTACCTGGGGCACAGCACCAGCCACGGGGCCACACAATGCTTTGATTGCACATTCCCATTTTTAAACAGGAAAAATTAAAACATACAAGAGCCTGTGCTGGAATTCTGTGTTGTTTTCCAGGTGACACCTGGTTGCTCATCCCAATACTGAATATGTTTTCTTGGATATCAGGGCCTCACTTCTACCCAAAGAGGTCTCCATTTGTTTATTAACAAATAAGTTATTATTACAAGTCATAGCTCATCCTTTTCCATCATTTCAAATGCTTCTATATCTTCATTCCAGTCCGCTAATATGGATTCCATAGGCTGGACTTTACTATCCCAGTGAGCTTTGGAACTGGCCTCTGTCTGGGTGTTTTGTTCCTGAGGCTGGCTGTCCCCTGGTGTACATGCTGGCTCCAGAGCACTGGTCTCTGCAGGTCCAGAGGCATGGGGATCCTGATCTGCCATGGAAACACTGGCACTGGCTGCACTGGCAGGAGACAAAGGGGCAGGGTCACCCACAGCAGAGCTCTCGCCTCCTCCTTCAGGCTCCTCACTGACTGCTCCAGCATCCTGAGATTCTGAAGGAGCTTCCTCAGAATTTGGTTTGTGTGAATCATTTTCAGATGATTTCTGGTCCATATTCTCCATTTCCAAGTCTTTGAAGGGGAAGGAAAAAGAAAAAAAAAAAGTTAAAACAACCGTAGGAATGCAACGTTTTATTATGTATTCTAAAATCAAGGTCACTTCCCTTGGCCTTATTTCTTCAAGGAAGAGCAAACTTTCCAATGATATGAAAACTTAATGTTACTGAGGAATATTTTACAGAGGGATAGAGGGAAGCCTTTTAAACACATTTTAAATGAGGGCAAACAATACATTGAGGCTCATTTTGGTTCCTCAAACTTTAGGAGTGATTTGTGGGTCAGTGCCAGTTACCCTCCCTTCAACCTTAAGCAAATATCTACTGTGTGCACTGAACTTTAATGCTGGATTTTAAAGCACTCCCAGATCCACCAGGATCCCACATTTGAGCACACAGAATTGGACAGTTTCCCAAGTTTACTGAACTGTGTATTTGAGAGAGCCAAAG